TTTTTTTTTTTTTTTGCATTCTTCTTAAGCCGTCTCCAGCCATTATTAGTCTCAAAGTGGGTTCCTCGTCATTGAAAGATCAAAACAAACATATCTGTACAAACTGCTGCTTTAATAACAGATCAAAGCAAACATCTCTGCACAAACTAACCATACTCTATATTATAATCTTACACAACTGCCCGCAATTGTTATTGTTATGTAATTAAAATGCATACATAAGATGGGTTAATTGACTTTCTTTAACTCCAAGGTGTATTTTTAAACATCTACAATAAATATTTTATTAATGAAAGTTAATAGAAGTTGTTAATAAACTGTCAAACCCTTATCTCTACTGTAGGCTTAATAATCCTCAAATTATTGGCCCGGGCTTAGTAATTCTCAGAAGTGGATTAGAAAGACGGTTAACTTTGTCATAATTGTTTTTGATGGATTAGAGCGTTGGTTAAATTTTTACTTTATGTTCAGCATACATAGTTAATGTTTATAGTTTTCTCTCTCTTAAAGGGTGCTATTAAATGTCATGAAGAATGGATAAAAAAGTACGGAAAAATTTGTGGGTAAGTTTTTTACAGCTTTCAGAAAATGACCAAATAGTTTATTTGTTAACGTGAATTTTGATATATTTTATACGCAGCGACACCTACAGACATAAGTTGAAACTTTTCACTAACTTCACTCTAGATCCAAATCCGCTACGATAATCATAGGTAATCGTCCGAAGTAGAATCTATGAAATAAATTATACAATATTTAATAACTGATATTATTGAAGAAATGTTAAACAAAACCTGTCTTTAAATTGTTTGGATCTGTAGATTACACTTTTTAAACTAACTGTGTAAAGATGTCTGATGTTAAAGCATGCAGTATGAAGCTTATCTAAAATATATTTACATATGACGTGATCTAATTGATCAAGTGTTAAAGAAAAATCTTATAGAAATGGATACTAGTACATTATATATTATCTTTATCTATGTAGGATAATCTTATGTTAAATGTGATTACTTTGTTAATTCTACAGTTAGAAATAAAATACTTTTTATCTTACTTTTATTTCAATTTGTAAGAAAAACTTCATCTTTATATCAAGCAAATTAATTTCATCATTTTATTTAAGTTCGTAAAACAACACCCTAGAATGAATATAGCTAAATTAATGTCCCGCTTCATACTTGTTACTTTACAAACAGAAACATTATTCTGTATTCCTCAGACAAATTCAAATTAAAGATTTCCAAAAGTTTTTGAGTAGACCGGTAAGAAAACGCCATCTATAAAGTAATTTGAAAATCACTAGTTTGATTAGTTAAAAATGTTATACATGCAGCATTTTGAACAGCTAGGATGTCTAAAAGTGGATAATCTTAGTAAGGATCAAAGGCTTTATTAGTTAAACCATAACACTAAAATAACTGACAATTTCCCCTTCCATGACTGGTTTAGAGTACACTTACAGTAGTTGGATGGTTGGTTGGATTGTATTTAAGCACAAAGGTAGATAAAGAGCTATCTAAGTTTTGAAACTTGGTTTCTAGCATAGTAAGTCCGCAGACATACCGCTGTGCCCCTGGTAGACACACCTGTTCTAAGGTACAGTCATGTAAGTTTTTTCGCAGTTTCCACACAGGTGTTCTGTATGAACTTTTGATAAAAATCGAATACTATAAAATACAGTGTGCATCTGTCTGTCTGTCTCTCGGTCACGCAATGATGTCATAGCAACTTATCACGTAATTTAAGTAGTTTGATTTTCTGATCAATTAGAAGCGCGTAATGTACGATTGATCGAATACCTTAAACAAGACTGTTTATAAATTGAATTTTTTAGCCTAATTGTTACTTTTTTTCTTTAAAAAATTACCGTTGAATTACAAATAATGTTGTTAGTGTACTTTACAGTAAAATTTTATCATTTTATTCTTCATCTTACTTTATCCTTAAACTAAGCTATCCTGATAACAGTCGTATCTCATCTAGTGCGTATAATATCTTGCTTATCTCCATAGATGTTAGTCCCTGGAGGTGTGCAGCCAATTAAAGAGATTAAATCACAATTGATTTACAAACGTGGAGAGCACTGGAAGGAAGTTCGCAGTCTCCTCACCCCAACATTCAGTTCCAGTAAGATGAGACAAGTAAGTATTGTTGTTAGTCTACAACTTAAACATCAGTTCGATGTAGTCTGACAACTGTAACTATCGTCAGAAACTTATTATATAAATCTACATTATCAACTTCTTTTCATTATCAAAATATTTTCAATACCGAACTCTAAGGTACCACTCGTGTAGACAATATCAAATATTCATCTGTATCTCTGTCTTTCTGTATATTAATATGTCTACCTGTACTGTCTATTTATTTATTTTCTACCTTTCTGTATTCTCATCTCTCCGTCCTATGTACAAATCTATTTCTCTGTTTTTGTGTATATTTATCTATCTTGTCTGTACTGTCTATTCATCTGTTTCTCTGTTTTTGTGTATATTTATCTATCTTGTCTGTACTGTCTATTCATCTGTTTTTGTGTATATTTATCTATCTTGTCTGTACTGTCTATTCATCTGTTTCTCTGTTTTTGTGTATATTTATCTCTCTTGTCTGTACTGTCTATTCATCTGTTTCTCTGTTTTTGTGTATATTTATCTATCTTGTCTGTACTGTCTATTCGTCTGTTTTTC